CTTCCTCAATCCTTCTTGAAAGAGAACATATCTATAGAATCATGTTCACCAAGGGATTTAGTGTCTATTTATCCTTTGCTTCTATTCCTTGTGTTCAAATTTTGTTCTCTACTCTAGGTTGCAGGGGATTTTGATGGTTGCAAAAGCACAACTGAGGACCCCAGGGTTTAGCAGGTTTGGTTAGTGCAGCCTTGTCACATACAGGTGAAACATGATTCTTTGGCACTATGTACTGATTGGTCTGTAAGCAACTAACTCCTTGCATCAATTACTAACAGAGTTCTCCTTAATATGCCATTCCTCCATCGCAGAGCTTTATTTGGGGGTCTCGGGATACAAACTGTAACACTGAATCCCTCCTCCTCACTTTCTACTGTGGGCTTTTGACACATCACCATTTCGGACAAGGACTCAGTTATTATGCAAGTTTTCTCAAGTGTGACTTTAACAAAAACCTTTTGTGAAAATGGAAGTGTAAGTTACACTGAAAAAGAGAACTGAGGCCATTTTTCTTTTATGGAGTCCAAATGACCACGATAATTCTCCCTCTTTTCTTTTTAATATATCTACTGCTAGCAAAAACAGCCTGATGAAAATACCTCAGAGGCCAGCATTCTCTTTTCTCCCACGTAAGGGCAATACCATCTACATCTATGTTTCTCTGGGCCTCCAACATGCAGAAAATTTCATTATTTAACATTTATCAGACTACTGCAGCACTGAGCATTTGGAGAACACAAACAAGATATGTTCCCTGACTGTATCTTTCCCATGAGCATTCACACCCCCTGAAAAGACCAGCCAACAGTGACTTTTCAGTCTGTATTGAAGAATCAGTGGGCAGAGACTACACCTGGGGCGAGGCAGGTAGTTACTGAGTAGAGAAGATTTAGTGCCTATGTATTAAACACATGTGAATAGTTTCCATTATCAAAAATAAATGTTTTCCTTCATGTTTTTATTGACCTGAATCTCTTGATATATCGTTTATTTTTCCACTTTTTATGGAATTATGAATTTAGAGGAATGTGTCTCGAATATAAGAAAACAACATGGAAAGCATGATAACAAATGGTAACAGCAGAAGTCATTTGTAGCAAATGATATAATAATACAATGGGGAGTGGTTGGCAATCTGAATTTTTATGTGAAACATGGAGTTAAGCATGGTTTAAACATGGCAAAAATTAAAATTATATTGTGCAGACTACTTTTGAAATATAACAGAGTTAGTGGCCAAATTTGGCCACAATATGGCCTTCAAAAAAGTTTCTTTTGGTTATATTTTGTCCTTTGCATGGTGGTTTTGAGATTATTGCTCATTACTATTCTCACATGTTCCATTTTCAGCCATGTGTAAGGTGAGATTTAGGCAACCAAATTTTAGAAGCTCCACAAATAATTCTTATGCTCATCTAGGGTTGGGAGTCATGGATATAGGCAGCTGGCTAACGGGGATGTGCTCACCCTACCTCCAACCTAACCCCATCCCCCAAGGAAATGGTTTGCCTTCCAAGAGTGACAGCAACAGCACATCCTTGATGAGATTCCTTATTTAACTGTGTGACTGAGGAGATTTGTGGATGTGATCCATAATCACAGGGAGGCAGTTCCAAATGCTAGGAACGCTAAACCTCATCAGTTTCCATGTACCGTATTTGAGGTAAGACTACGTTAATAATAAGTGGATGATTCCAGTGAGGATAGAAAAGGCTCCTTGGCATAGTCCAAGAAAAAGATACAAGAAAGGGGGAAAAGAGGTGTAACAGGTATGGGAGATTTGAGAAATCCTGACCTGAGACTATTACATGATCTTGTAAGGCAGGGAAAATTAACCAGATATTTCCATGTCTTTGAAGAAGCCTCCCTTACATTCTTCCAGCCCCCTCTGACTTGATCATGTTCACCTAGTAGTCTTCTAATTACTAATAATATTTCATAGAAATTTTATTATTTGTCAGGGGTCTCATGAATCCAAGCATTCTAGTCACTGGGAAGGAATCTTCCTCTAGTATAGACTTAATAGATTAAAATTAGGGGTTATAAATCAGTCCTCTACCAGCATCATTAACATGACTCAGACTTCAAAACTGATCAATTCCAAACCCACTGACAAAATTCAGTTCCCTGGCTTGCAGTGTTGATGAACAAACCCTTGAGCACCCTGGGAAGCTCAGGTTTGGGGAAGGTCAGAGAGCTGTGCTAGCAGCACATTCTGAGATATCACTCTGGCATTTTCTAATTTCAAAACCAACTCAGGAAAACTGATTTTAAAACTGTATTTTGATGGAAACTTTTATCTGGAGGATCCAAAGTCCTCACCATTTTCCCTATATTTTTTCAGGATATGAAAACTGAGATGAAGAAAGCTGTTAAGTTTCCATGGAAATGGTGCCAATTAATTTTTTCTGTTCCTCAGGAAAATTCCTTGACTTAGCAATAATGTAACTTCCTGGCAGTCCCTTGGCAGTCTTGAATGTAGGGCATCTGAAACACTTATAATTTCAGCGGGAAAATAGTTGGCTCTTGTAATCCCTTTTCCTTCCAGCATATAGTGAAAGAATTAAATAATTTCTTTAACCTTCCTTAGAGAACCCGTCTAGTCCCTTTAGGAAATCTTGATTCTGACAAACATTTCGTAAAGGGGCCTTTTTTGTTGTTCAAATAAAGAGATTATCATTGGTGAAGCAGGTACTGTTTTTCCTACTATACCATGAAATCCCAGATAGTTAAAGAGTAATCATTAATTCAGGAATAAGCAGTTTTGATCGCCTAGTATGTCCCATGGGTTGGATAGTCATAAATATCCGAAAAGGTTTAGAGAAAAATGATTGGAGAGAGTAAAGAAAAAAGTAAAATTGTATAATTTTAAAATCCTCCCAATTATTCTTAATTATCTCTTCTGTTCTCACATTAGATTCTGATTTCCCTGCAGACTGCAGTAATCAGGAAGGTTTTCCAACATTTCACAAGGTTTAATGTTCCTCTTCTCCTTGCAAATAGAACAATATTCTTTTCTTTTCTACAGAATTACTGATATCCAGGGTTAAAAGAATCTAGGGAAACTGCTCTAAGGTGACTAATCTAAAACATCATCAATAAGTTGGATTTAAATATTCAGAGAGAAAAAATTCATACAAAATTTGAGTAAAATTTTCATATCCTAGCCCTAAAAGAGTTTTAAAAATATACTGATTGTTGATCTTAATGAAACAAATTAGGTACCAAGGTATGGACAGATATTAATCCAATAAAATATTTTATAATTAGGTTCTTATTTCCTTTCACTATTCTCCCCTCCCTTTTTTTTTCTGGGTACAGAAGGGACTATTTTCCTGTACATAAGGTGAAGAATAATTTGTCTCTAATAGACACTAGCAATCTTTCCTTATGTTGCTCTCTGGGGGTAGCCAGAGGACAACTGGTAAGAGCGAGAATTCCAAGGACCTCTTCATTCCTCTTGCTATTTGTCACCTTCCTTCATCTCTGATGGCTTTCTTCACATTTCCTCCTCAATTCTAACAGAATTTAATTAAAACATGATAATTGAGTAATTTATTTAAAAATGCTTCAGGGAAATTTTCTCCTAAAGAGCTCAAAGCATCCTCTCTCTTTGTTCTTTCCAAAACTCTGTGGGGTATGTGGGGGAGTCCTGATAGGAATAATCTCTACTTTGCTAATTCCTCAGGAACTGTTTGATTCTAATTGTAGAATGATCTCATATGGAGGTCTGCACTTGTTTCTTGAGGTAAAGGTACAGTGGAAGGATAATAACCTCAAGAAGATAAATCTTTTCCTTCAAATTATGAAATCACTAGAAATGGAAAGCTGTCAAATAGAGGTTTCCTTTCTTTTCTTTTTTTTACATGTAAATTTGTAAGCAGTATATCTATGTGTTCAGGGCCAGAAATTCAGCTTCATCATGTGCTGCACTCAAGCATCATGTACTTAATTGGAAGAACGATCTAAGTACCATTTGAAGGGATGGATGAAGATCACTTGTTAAGGACATACCTTTGCTTGGAGGACAATCCATGACGTCTTACGAGCAGGTCCACTGAGGTGGAGTGAGAAGTGAGTGCAGTCAGTGCCCAGCCATCTCTACGATGGCACAAAGGAACACTGGCCAGGGGTAGGGGGTGTTCAGTGGCTACTGGGAGATAACCTCTTGGTTTTATTTTAATGTCTCTCTCAATAATTTACTGGTAGCAATTTCAAGGCAATGCTCTCTTGGACTGAAGTTAGTTATTTCCAAGGCGCATTGAGATTATTGATTATCAGAGCCAGCCCCCTACATCTGTCACCTTTTACATTTTTCATTTTTGAACTTTAACCAAGAGCTTATTATCAGGGGGAACATCATAATAAATAACCTGGAAGAGTTTCTCTTTCCATTTGGAACCATGCCTGTCAGGGAAATCCGTAGAGAGAGAGGAAATTTTTGCTACTGTGTGTGTTGTCTCTGTAGCTACAGTTTTCAGCTTTTTTCTGCATGACAAGTAAGTGTTCCAAAAACTGCTAGATTAAGGGTGGAGAGCAAAAGAATAGTGAGACAAGGGTCCAATCTTTGATTGGAGTTCAATGCAGAGTACAGAAATCCCATGCTGGTCCCCTTCTTTGAGAAATCAACCATCTGTTCCCCTGTCCCCAATCCACCCAACTTACACTCCAGAGGCTTCTCTCTAATGGTCTATGAAAGCATGGTCTCCATACAGGTTAGAGAAGTTGTATTACTTGACCTTCCTAAAGCCCTGGTAACAACATCATCAACATCACCACAAACATTCTCACAAGGTTGTTTCTTGCCTTTATTAACTGAAATAATTTTCTTGTATTAATCTAATGACAAAATTATATTTGGGCAAGACACTAATTAAAGAGTAAGACTAATCAGGCACACAATTATTTACTTCTATCCTCAGAGACTTTACCCAATATTCATAAGACTTCTTTAAATCTTACTTAGAGATTATTGAATAAACTGAAGTTCATGTAACTACCTTGTCTCTTAGGACCATGGAACCTGTCACCATCAGATTGTCTTCCAGCTGTCTTTTGTTGAAACACTGTAAAAAAAAAAAATAGCACATAATATTTACTGAACACAAGCATGAAAAAGAACAGACTGTGGAAGTCTCCAGGAAACTAGAATGTGATACCTCATTTTCCTTAGTAGCAATTCTTGAATTGTATTATTTTTGAGTAGGAGGATTATTAAATTTACAATTTTCTCATTTGCACAGCTTATCAGTCATTTCGAAAAGCATTTTCTTTAGGCAGAAGAGTGTAATGCTGATGGAACACCTCATTAAACTATTTAAATCAAGATAGGATTCCATTCTGATATCAGGTAAAGCTAAAAGGTGCATTTTGTTAAAAGTGATAAATGTTAAAATCACATGAAAAATTCCATTTGCAGAGAAATTACTCATGCTGACTTTCTGGTGATAAGCAAGGGTAATGACGGTTTCTTCTTAAACAGATGAAAAGACTGCTGTATTTCACAGATGTAATAATAAAAAAGACACTTTATTCTTGCATCATCTAGCTAGACCTCAGACCTATTAAAGCAGCTTATTCGAATTACTTCATTATCTGAAAAGTGCTTTGTTCTCATTTATTATTTCTCACATGAAATTCTGTGAGAAAAGTCAGCATTACTCACCCCATTTTGCAGATGAAAGATAAAATTGATTGTTTAATATTTATTGAGCACCCCACAAATTTCCGTATAGCTTCTGGCATTTGTTAATGAAAAAGCTTATACCCTTTACAACTTGACTTTAGAAAATGAACATCCCAGAGTTTGTGCTATTTATTTTTTATGGGTAGTCTGCATTACAGGGTTTGGAAACAGCTAGAGGCCTTGGAGATTGAGTCCAACCTCATATGTGTAAAGATGAGGGAGGTGGAAGTTTTAATAACTTGTAAAAGCGCTGAGTAATTTCACAATGATCCCAGAACTGTTGTTCGTAGAGACGTGATTTAGAGCCTCAAGCCTTTAACTTCGACCTATTGCTTGGTTCTCCACAGCACTGTTGCCTCTTCTCTTCCATAACTATTTCTTTTGAAAGATAAAGAAGGAGATAGAGGGAGGGAATTCACAAGAACCCTTGAGCATTTCCAGCATGCTTGGGTCTCTTGATCCTCTTCGCAGCTCACCAGACTCTCCTGGGACAATGGAGCTGAGGCATGTGGGAGGGAGCGAGCAGTCCAGCAGGATGGTGCTTGACCACTCTGATGGGAAGTTGCAGCCCAGCAGTTGTCTTATATTCTCTGTCTCTAGTTTTAACATTCTTTAGACCAATCTATTATCAAGGTCACACCTGTGTTTAATCCAGATGACATTTTTTTGTATTTAAAAAAACTGCCCCAAATCCTATCACATCAAAAATGATTAAGCATATTTAGTTTGTCAAGACAGAGTACTCTGCCCTACTGTCTTCTTTCAAACAGGAAAAGCAAATATATTTTCAAAGTATGATGTGTTTAAGAAGAGTTATACTCATGAAATAACATCATTTCTGGTTGAAAATCAATTTTCTGCTTCAAGTTAGTATTTGAAAAACATGCTAAATATAACTTAATGGCAAGTTATGGGCTTGTGGTTTGTATTTTTCCTTAAATAAAATATAATGATGGATATATGGTGTGTGAGTGTATTTTGGGATATTAGAAAAGTTTTTACAAGTGGTGCTTGATTTTTTTTTCATTGGCCAGTTCTAAAAAGTCTTGAAAATATGAAACACTCTTGAAATTTTAATAACAGGCAGAGTCTTTGCATGCTTTTTCTGTTTTTACCAATATTGTTAAGATGATAACTGAAAATGTCTAAGACAAAAAAGGCTGTAGTCTGGCATCATTAATATGGAAAATAATCTGAATCCAAAGATAAATCTGGACAACAAATTCTCCAAATAAAGAGTACATCGATCAGTTTTAACAGTTCTGCTGCATTTTGAAGCTACAGAGTACTTGGAATTAGTTTTTCCAGATTTTTGGCATTAATTTTTTTTAAAAATCATTTTACATCCTGTATGTGGTTCTGCTGACAACAAATGCCCAGGGTGCGTGAAATGCAGTAAATGCGAAACAAGTCAACATTCTTTCGGTTTCTAGCCTTAGAATTATAAAGAGCGTTACTTATTTCTTGTTGAGATTTCACCAGGGCTTCCAGCTGGAAGAGCCCGGGATCTGAAGGAAGATTGGGAGGGGAGCTGGATGTCTGAGAAGGATGGTTATCAAAGTGCTGATAGCAGAACTTTTTAAAAGCCGGGTGTGCATCCTGTCACACCCCACAGTACAAAGGCCCTTTCTCCCCGGATAATCTCTCTTGAAATTCCCTCTTAACTCACCTCCAGCTGCATCCATTTCAACTGGTCCCTTCCTTCCACCTACACAACAAGCCTCATTTCCTTACAAAGACGCAATTAGCACATTACTAAACACACTGTTTTCTTGATGCTATGGAAGTGAGGAGGTATTTTTGAATGTGAGGTAATCTTGGAAAAAGACCTATATTAACTTGTCTCCTGAAGAAATCGCTAGTCCATCAAAATGATCAGTGACTCAAACATGCATAACAAGGAAACATACTCTGTTAGCCTTAGGAAAAGGATAGGTAGATAGAAAATTCCAGAATTCGTTAATCTTTCTTTTTTACGGTTAATATTAGCTGAAACATTTAAAATTTACCAGTAAAACCTTTGTTCTAAAAAGCTTTATATGCTTTCTAGTTACCATGCTCACTGACACAAACCTTTATAAGAGGTAAATGTAAAATCCATGATGTCCTGACAACTGAACATTGGGTTATGGGTCACTCAGCTTTATGTATGAAAGCACATACTTTTGTACAAGATTTGTGGGGAATAAGATGAGAGTCTGTTTTAAACATACAGAAATTGGAAAAAAAAACAACCCACCAGAATGCTAACTAACTTGGCACTGGGGAAGGGGTATAGTTTTGTCTTAATGTTAACAACATATGTGACATGGGAAAATGGTTTTCCCCTCCTGGCACTTTATTTTCTTACTGATAACAAGGTGGAGCTCAGATGAGATGATCTCTAATGTCTCACTCAGCTCTGACATTCTAAGATGTTACCAATTCTTATTTCCCAAGTCACTCCAGGCCCAATAGTGCCTGGATAAATTCTTAAGTCTGAATTTAAATAGGGGACTCTGTTTTGAGGAAGAGATTATTTGTACTGAGGGCTTAGACTAATAGAAAAACTAGAAAGTTAAACCACAGACCAAGGTTAATGTTTTAGAAAATATGGAGGTGATCCTGTCTGTATGTGTCTGAATTCTTGCAGGATACTGTTTTTTTTTTAAATCACATTTTACTGCATCAATGTTCAAAAAATGCTATTAAGGCAATTATGACATACATCAACATTGATGACTCTGCCTCAGTGAAATTTTATTTTTCTCTTCCTATCTAAAATTGGAATTTGAGAAGAAAGGAAAATGAATGCATTATTAGTAGTTGTCACCACCTTTAAACATTAAAAAAAGCCCACAGAGAAAGAAAAACAATTTTTGAAGTTCAAAATAATCTCAAACAATGCAAATGTCCCAAATACCACCCCCATTTATCTTAAATATTGGTGGAACAACTTCCATAAAATTTTCTCTAGAATAGAAATGACACTAAATGGAAAAAAATTAGCATAGTATTAAATATTCAAAACATTAAGCAAAGCAGAACTATCAGAAGAACAAAGGAGGAGGAGAAGGTGAAATATAACGAATTCACTGGCACTATTTGTCTTTCCAGGTTGCTTTTGCAAGAACATTTTTCATGTCAACTTCATTTATGGCCTATTTCAAGCAAAGGGATCCTACCAAAGCCACCCTCCTTAAAACATCTGACAAAACTTATTTGGAATTTCTTTGTAAGTGGCTAAGGTGATGGAAAGTCTGTGCAACAGCCAAATGCATTCATAAAGATGTGGCTTATAAACAACAAACCCCTTGATGTTCCATGCCCATTAGAAGGGCAACATAAAATGTTTAGAGCTATCACTGAAGATTATTCTAGAAACTAGAGATTTGATATAAAAAAGTGACAGGTTTGTATTATGCTCTGGGTTCTCAGAATGATACTGTACAGGTAGCAGCAGTGTGTTTATTATTTACTCAATAAGCTTTCATGACGTTGCTAACTGTGTAACCAACTACAGTGTTAGGCCAACGTCAATAAAATCCAGTCATAGTCTCTACAATGTCCTCCATTTTGATGTATTCATTGAAGCAAAGGTCAAATGTGTCCTTAGTGCCTACCGATGAGAGACAATAGAGATGAGAAACAATCAGGGAAGGCAAAGCTAGTAATTTGACCCCTGTAGCCTTACTCTTCCTACCTTGTTCTCCCAATTTGCACCCTGTGAAAGGTAATCACAAGAAGGTGGAATGAGGCAAAAGCAAACAAACAATAAAAAACCCCCACAAAACCCAAAACACTGTAAACAACCCCTTTGTCTAAGCAGCAAAAACAGGTTAAGAGAATATTCTAATCCTATAAGTAGTCACACTGTCTAAGCAAACTGGAGCTCAGAGGAGAGAGGTAGCTTCTTTGAAAATTGACCAAGACAGATTGAGCACCCCTCCTGGCTTAAAACCACCCTTGTGTTCTGTTAGCAATAGTTACAGGTTATTAATTTGAACAAATTTATCAAACATAGGTTACCACATTTGGATAGGCACTTTAGGGTTGGCATGGCCATAGACAGTCACATCAGCTACATCCTGTGAATGCTGTCCAACTGAAAGTAGTTTACTGCCTGGGAGATATATGGAATCAGGAGTTATGATATTGTCTTCTTAAAGGAGAATACTTCTGAGATTGGTAGGGAAGGAAAGTTGGAAATCACATAGCTACCAGAAGGAAAATGACCTAAACATTCTAATTCAATGGCCATATCAATTTTCTCCTAAGGAGAAAGCATGAATTTTCTTTCCAATTTGTAATGGAAACTTTAAGTCTAATAGACATGTTCCCATAAAAATCTTCTCCCCAAGCAGGAAATCTTATCGTAATTTTTTTTTCTCTTTCTAAGGA